GTCGTTTCAATTGTTTGAGTCTTTCATCAGAATTATCTCCAATCCATCGGTAATATAATTGTAGTAAACGTTTAATACCAATAAAACTGCAATAAATCATATCATTATATCAGACGGACTTCAAGACTACGACAAAGACTCACATAAAAGGGGAGATAATGAATGGCAGAAACCAAACAATATTTTGAATGATATTCTCTTTGGAGTAATGAAAAACCAAATAAAATCTATAAAAGATTAATACAGAGATCGTGTAAAGGATGACAAACGCCGCGAAGAAAAGACAAATGCAATTCTTCTCCCGTTTTGAAGAGCTGTCCTTCAAGTCTTCAATCGCTTCGATCTCATTATGGATGTCCTCTAAGAGGTGTTTGGTGTCACGTTTGGCCTGAAATCATACCATATATACAATCAATATGTTATCTAATTATCAATTATTATATTACAAACCAATTATTACATTAAAATTACTAATTATTTCTATTCAATACAAACACAAACTTATATAACAATTGCTTTCAATTTTCATCTCATCATATATTTAAGTCTTGTAATAATAATAAAGCAATGAATGAATACATACTCTGAATATGGATAATAGAGAACCCATTTGTGTGGACAATATTGTCACCGATTTGTAAGACAATATTGTCTCAAATATTGTTCAATAATAGTCTTCAAAATGCATTGAATCAATACATCTAAACATTCAAACAAATACTACATTAGATGTCATGTGTTTGTCATGAAATACATTCAATACATACCACTCTTTGGATCACAATTTTGATGATCTCATCAGTGGTTTAATAATTGTCACCAAAAGTGTGTCAAATCAACAAATTGTGAGATGTGTTGACGTGAGTGATAGGGTTTGTGTGTATATGCAGTCAATTGTGGATCCGATGGCCAACACATCCAAAGGGTGTCCGAAGTTATAACCAATTCATTACAAATCCATTAATTAGTCATTTAATGAATCAGTGATTCAGTGATCGAGTCATGCATTCATCACAACAACTCATCCGCACATAAATCACGTCATTATATGTCAAGTAAATTTCCCACCAAATTGAACATGGTCAATGGTTAATTGTACATGGCTAATTGCTAATCATCACTGACAATGTATATTGCCATTGCATTGAATGTTAATCATTCAAACAATATTATGCTATACTTTATAAAGAAAACTAATACTTTATAACTTATAAATTATAAGCATTCAACTAATATATTAACAAATACTAGTTTTATTCAATTAAATGCCATTTTCTAACTAATAATAGTCTATAATTGATTACCTGAATCAGTGCGTGAATTGAACATGTCTTAAGTTGATTGTAAATTATTTACCATACAATTGAACCCAAAAAAATATTTACTTATTTAACTTATTTAATAATTATTTCCAAAAATACTTGAAATCAGTTTGAATGATACAGTAATGTCAGAAAATAGTTAATTAAAAAATTTATGTACAATTTTATGTATTAATGATAGAAAAGACATAATTGTTAGAAATAATCAGTGATTAGAATATGAGTTTAAAACTATATGGACTTGGTGATTAAGTCCACAATCACTAATGGTGTGAAATGTGTGCATATTATGAAGTAGTGTTGACCCTCCAGTGTCCACCACATAAGCAGTTCTTAATCCATCTTTGATCCCAAGCTCTAGTGGCCGGCGAACGCATAATAGGCTTCAGCAATGAGACGGCATTACATCGGGAACACGACCTTAGGTTAGAGGACTCCTGATTGGAAGCCCCGAGTCCTACATAACGGACTACATCTATACGACGTCCGGCATAGCAATTGACGGCGCCGTCGATTGAATGGGTTTTTGCGGTGAATTTCAAGAACGAGGGCTCAGAAAAGTAATCAAATTGGAGGGGAAGAGCGTTCGTGAAGAGTGCAGGACTCGCAACGCCTATCGCTTTGAGACATAAGTCTAAATGAGGAATAAGCACTTGATTTGGAAGAAGACAGCACTCGTCTAATAGTTTTTCGTCAAGTCTTTCGGTCACTGTTTTTGATAAAAGTTTGAAAAGAAGCGAAATTACGTCCAAATCGTTCTCCATTTTGGTGAACACCGGAAGACATCCGGAGTTAATCAGACCCCAAAATCGGATTATTACCAACAGTTCTCTCAATGTATTCAATGCTTTTGTATCGAATATTAAGCCACCCTTTGAATGAAATAACAATTAATTAGTTGTTAATAAAATGGTAAGAAGTAATAGTAAGAGTATACCCCGGGAAATCTAAACTGGTTGTGATGACACTGTTGTGGCAATGAGGCCAATAAATAGAGGGTTAAATCTGCAATCCATTGATGCAAATGTTGGAAAGATTGCAAAATCTGCGGCTCAACGCAAAAGTCCTTATTATCTAAATTAATGAGAATTGTGTCGACTTTCATGTATTGCATGTCATTTCCCTTATTTTGAATGAGAAGACTGAGGTTCTCGGCCGGTCCCTCATTCTCCTGGTTATCCCGCGGTCTGAGCAATGATTTCAAAGTGGTTGCGATGGCGTTCAACATAATCAATGTGTAGAAGTCTCCAGCTTTGCATTGACCGCTATTGTTAGCACTACTCGTATTGAGACATCTATAAAGTGATGCTTTAATTGTGAGAAAACGACTCAACCATTTCTGCTGTAACTCCAACTGCTGTTTATTCATAAAAGTTTCGGTAATTTTCTCACAAACACTATCGATCAGATTGGGTCGTAAGCCAATGATCACATCCCACCAATCATTACCAGATACTAAACAGTACTCAAGCATTGTCTGCGCGTAATTGGCACTCATGTGTCCGCCCGGGTCTGTAATTGGCGACAGTTTATACAAATAGATCTGTGAAAGAGAGTCGATGGCAACCATTGCGCAACTACTCCAT